CCGCCGTTTGTTCGCGCTTTGATCTCGACTGACGACGCGCGAGACGCACCCTGTCGTGCGCGAGAGATCGCGTTTATTCCCCGCATAATTCCTTTTCGCGCTTATTGACCGACCACGGTTGAAAACGCGCCCGCTTAGCCGGCAAATCCGGAAAATACTCAACCTCCACGCAGCACCGGTTTCAAGTATCAAACAACCAATGTACTGTACGTGGCATCAATGTGCAATATAGTGTACGTATGTATGTATGTACGGTTTTATCCACTCTATCGACTAAAATTGGAAAAAGAAGTGTTTGTTTTAATGCCAATTTGATTCCTATGTTTGCATCTTTCAATTCTATTTTCATTATATCGCGTTCTCTATACGCAATTTGTTTAGTAACTTAAGAAATCATACTGTTCAACTATGCGTAATATATCAGGTGCAATTTTCATTTTGATTAGGCGCAGTATTGTTCAGAAAGTCAGTAAATACAGATTTACATGACTTTGATATGCGAACCAATGGCTGAAGTTAAAGATCGCGTCAAGTTACCAAGAATGGTTAAATACACGGTTTTATACGTGTTAAAATCATTATTTTTTCTTAACAAAGAAGGAAGACGCTCGAAATATCGAATCAATATTATTTGTTCCATGTGCTCTATGCAGTTTCTGTAATTCCACTACATATACCTTGAACAAAGTTCGATTACAAAGTTATCCGTGTCGAATTTTAAAGTCCCGAGCGGCGAGAATAAAAAAGAGAAAAAGAAAACACAAAGTCGCTTCTGGCAACACGTCTCGAAGCGATCTCTGGCGATCTCACGGGCTACAGGGCTTTTTCCGCGTTTCGTTTTCGACTTCTTGTTCCTCGCTTCTCTGGTCGCTCTTCCAACAACTTGCTGCCGCTGTTCGCGCAAGTGGCCGTCAGATAAAACTCGTCGAACTGAAGTCCCCGGACACGGTAACTTCTGGCGAGAAGTCTAGAGGAGCGATAAGGGTCGCGCGGCGTGAAAATTCCACGAGGCTGCGAGACGGCGCGCGAGCACCGTGCGTTTTCCCTTTATGTTTTAGTTTCAGTCTGATAAATTGTTTACTCGTCCAGGAAAAGTTTCAAAGTGACCTCGCCATCCCCTTGTCTCTTGGCGACATCATAATGACCGTCGCGATGCTCTTTTTCTCCCGCGTCCGACAGCCGCGATCGTGTCGTTTGGTCGAGAAACTCCGTTCCAGTTTCCTCGAAAAAAAAAGAACGAGAAATTTGCGGCGGAAAG